AGAATATTCTTGGTATCAGGCTAAGAATAGAGTCTTGGCTGAGAAGCAAGAATTGAACTCACGTCCTTGGTCTCTTCAAGTGGCCCTGTAGACTCCAATCTGGGAAGATTAGGTGACTTTTGATAGTTTTGTCAGAGAGAGAAAAATTGGTTAGGGGGAAAAAATAAAAGAATATGATCTGGTCAGTCTTTGCATTTTTAATTATGCCAAAATAGGCATTAGAAAATAGTCTACATTTACTTGGAGAGAAATTTGCTTAGTAATTTTCAGTGATGGTCAAATCAGCAGATTCTTAACTTAGTTGACATTAATTCAGAAAGCCAGAGATGCAAGTCTAAATATGAAAGCACCATCTTGAAAGCATTTTATATGACTTTTAATTCAATAAACTAAACCAAATAAATTTCTAGAGAAGACATTAAAGAAACTCAGTCAAAATTAATGAGTATTAATGAGTACTACTGTTATTCTTTGAAGAGTTACAATTTTTTTTACATGCATGGAGTGTCAAATGAATAATTAAAATTTGGAGTGAACATGCACAGGGAGAAGGAAATGTTTTTATGTTAGTTGTCATGTGCACTTGCCTGGCCCCTCGTGTGGGTCCTGTGGAATCCAGGCAGTGTAAGTGAAGGTGTCTATTGTCAAAGACTTGAAATCTGTAGACTTTACAGCCTAAGAACTGATTAAAAAGTATGTTCGATTTATATAAGGGCAGCACATTAGTTTTTTCAATACCATTTCATAGTATGTAAATCTTTGAAAGGTCTTTGTTGAAGACACCTTTCCTTAGCAGGTTTTATGTTGCAGTGGAAGGTGTATGAGGTGAAGTTGGGTATCCCATCAAAGACCTACAGATTTAACATGGAGTGGCCTCAACAGGTGGTATTATCTTGGTGAAGTCTAAGCATGCTTTTCACCTTGGAGGCCCCAGAGCCCTGGGTTGATTAGGCTTAGGGAAATTGATACGTAAGCCAGAAGGTCAGGATAATGATTTGTAATAAATGGATTCTAGTGACTGGAATCTTTGAGAATTCTGTCATTGGCATTTTCTGCCTCTCTGAAAGAACAGAGGAAACTGAATTAGTCATCAGCAGATTATTTGTTGAGCGTAAGATTTGAGTGAAATAAAGTGCATGGTTTAAGATGAGCTTATCTAGGGCAGTGTTCCCCACAGAAGAGGCTTCTCTTGCATTCCAGTTCCAAATTGCTCACATCCTCCAGATTCTGTCTCCTTTCCCCTGGCAGTGCTAGACACACTCTGCCTGCTTTGCATCTCTGATCTCTCGTTCCTTTTATGTACCCTTTCGCCTCCCTATATTCCTATTCTTTTCTTTTTTTTTAAGTTTGCTATAGGGCACATGTACTCGCCTAAGAGAGACAGAGAGGAAGAGGGAAGAGGGAAAGAAATCACCCCCCGGGCAGATGGCTTTGCCATTATCCTTTCTCTTTCGTTCTCCTCTCAGGACTTTGGACAGCATGCACATGCACCCAGCATAAATTTCAAGTTACTGACTTGGACATAAAGTTAGGCACATGGGAAGCCACCTTAACCTCCATGCCATTTGCTGGCCTGCCCCTGCTTACTGTTTCTTAGGGATTGATTTGCCTTTTTCTGTAGATCATTAATCTCACTGCCTATGCCATAATCCATTGTAATTTGGAATTCATTTTAGAAAATGTTCCTATGCAGTTGAGTTGAGTTTTTGTATGTATGAGCTAACCTGTTGATTTGGCTTGTTAGTTAAATGACAGAATTCTCTGCTAAGTTGGCATATCTAGACATGCTGTGACTTTGGGCTTAAGTGTTTAATGGGATCATATAGAAGAGTCTTAAGACTTCATGTAAGATCAATATGTTTTGCAAATGACAGTGTGCTCCAGGCTAACTTCTATTGGTGCAGACATAGACCACCATACTGGAGGTCCATGGATGCATACTTTGCAGTGTTGTATTTTACAGTGAAGGGGGGCTAGGACCATACTTTATACTTCTACTTATTATCATTAATGTGACCTTGAGCTGATCTCTTAATTTATCTGGGCCTGAGTTAACTAATCTGCAAAGAAATCGTGTTCAAACAGATATTTTCAGATCTTTGGCAACCTCCAGGTCTGTGGCAAATGGTGATAATTATGCTGGTGATACATTTTCCTCACTGGACATGAAAAAGATTCTGTCTAGCCTTAAGAGTCACATGGTTTGAGAGAATAAGATCATACATTAGTTTTCACAACAGTCTCCCAATTCTCAGTGCTTTATAACAGATGTTAATTAATTGGTTAGTCGATTGATTAATTTTCATATTTTATCTCAGCAACTGCAGGCTATATGTTTGTTTTAGCTACACTTTTTGTATGTACTCTGATTTTGAACCTAGCTAATGGGAGCACCATTAATTAGGGACATGCCTATTTTCATGACAGTGGGAAAGAGGGAGAAAGAGACCCCAACAGAGTCGCATTAGCATTACATTGAAACTTCTCAGAAATGGTATCATTGTGTCCACGCATGTTCTAGGGCCAAAAGTAAGTCATCAGACCAAGCCCAACATCCATAGGTTGGGGTAAATAAACTCCTCATACTGCTCTCTGGGCAAGGGTGAAGGTGACAGGATAAATACTGATGTATTAAAACGGTAATATGCATACACTCATAGAGGCCTTCCCTGTTAACAGATTTTTGGAGAAATGAGAGCAAGTGAAAAATTGTTTTAGAGAGATGTTTGCTATGGGGTATGTGCACTTGCCAAAGAGACAAAGAGACAGAATGCCAGAAATCACCCCTCCCAGGGCGGATGACCATGCCACAGTCCCTTCTCCATTCTCTTAGAATTTTGGGCACGCACACACACACCTGGTGTGAGTTTCAAGCTACTGGGTCCAGGACTTCCTATGTCAACCCCATAGGAATCCAGTGCCTTAATCACTATGCCACCTACTGTCCCTATCCAATGAAATTTTAATAATTTGTATATATTTGTCTCTTCTATTTGAATAGAACTTTTTTTTTCTTTTTAAACGCTATTGAGATTAATTTTTAGCGAAAGCCTGGAGGTGGTTTGGTGGTTGTCGAATGAAGTGTGTGGTAGACAGTAGAGGAGCCTCCCTCCAAACATGTTCCCCTGGTCCTTTCCAAAAATTCATTCAGAATTCTACAAGTTAACTTAATATTGGAAAATTTAACCAAGTCATGATGGTTCTCTGTAATCAAGCATTTGAGAAAATATTAAATTAAGTGGCCTAGTGTTGGAAAGTGAACTTAAGGCCCAGGCTTTTCATGAGGCTCATCATAAGACATAATTGTTATTTCTGGAAAACTTTTTTGTCTGATAATACACCTGAATGCCTATTGCAAACCATGATGAAATGGGTTTCAATTAATTTTATTTTCCAAATTTTTCTCCCTCTCTCCCTCCCTCCCTCCCTCCCTCCCTCCCTTCCTTCCTTCCTTCCCTTCCTCCTTTCTTCTTTTCCTCCTTTCTTCCTTTCCTCCTTTTCTCCTTCCTTCCTTTCTTCCTTCCTTTCACAGTGAAGCTGACTGGTTTTACTGAAGTGTGCCTTAGGTGAAGGTAATATGGTTTACAGTTGTGAATGTGAATTTTAAGACCCACAAACAGAAAGCTCAAACTGTTGGGACCAGCGGTTGGCATAATGGCTATGACACTGGACTCCCATGTAGTCAACTGTGGTTCGAGTCCCGGGCCCGGTGGCTTAAAACTCATGCCGGGCACATGTGCGTGTGTGCCCAAGATCCTCAGAGGAGAATGGATTGCAGCGTGGCCATCCCCCCCTGGGGGTGATTTCTCGCTTTCTCTCTCTCTCTCTGTCTTTCTGGCGAACGCATGGGCCCTATAGCAAAAACCTCTCCAAAAAAAAAAAGAAAAGAAAGAAAGAAATCTTAAACTGTTACATAGGACAAAAAAATGAGATGGTGGTAAATGGAGAAACATTACTCTTTATAAAGATACTTAATATCATGAATGGCTCCATCATGTACAGCTGGAGAAGAAATACAGTGCTCCTGGGCATTATT